TAAAATTCAATAAAGATGAAATCAAGAACGATATTCTTTAAGTGGTGATACATTAAATGTTTCAATATAAAATTCGCTGATTGGGTAGCAATACAATTGAAGAATTAAATTAGTTAAGTACTGTCTTTCGCTTTCGATCAATAATGGCCTGATAATTATAATAGCATTAATAAGTACTGAAGACTTTTACTACAGTTTTTTTTCACTTTTTGATCAATAATTGCTTAGTAATATTACAGTATTGGTAAGTACTGATAGTTTTTATCATTTGATCAATTTCAATCAATAATTGGCTAATTACATCATGCTATATTTGTTTTCACACCATATAGAAGCTAAAAGAACAAACATAAAAATATTCATTTATTATCAAAAATATGCATAGAGATATGATGAAACACAATATTGGTTATCGCTACTATTATAAAATTGGATTAATACATTAACTAGTAATCGTTTGAATGATCGCACTATAATTATATCGAGCTATAGTAATATTAGTCTAAATTTTCCTCATGACAATTGTTTTTCTCTACCATGTCTTTTGTTGTTTGTAAATTTTTTTTGTTGTAATTTCTTTTGTTGTAACTAGTAATCGTTTGAATGATCGCGTTATAATTACATCAGGATTACTCTAAATTTTTTTATTACAATTGTTTTCTCTACTATGTCTTTTGTTGAAAATTTCTTTTGTTGTAATTTTTTTTTAATATCCTAATAAAACCGTAAAGCAATCGTATTGAATCCAAATATCTTCTTTTTGTGTTTGATAAAGTTTTTTCGCGAGTATAAAAGTGTTGTCTTAAACAAAAAATTGTATTCTCACAATATTTTATTAGTCGCATCATGTCTTTCAATAAAAATTTACAAAATTTTGCACCTACCTCTAATACACTTCCTCGTCCAGATGAAAATTTTGTAATTGAATTGAGTACTGATTCCAATAATGAACTCAACGCCGAAGAACAATTTTTTAAACATGGTAAAAACGTGCATCCCATCTGGAATTACTTTAAACCAACTCCAAGTGCATTAATTGATGAACTGTGATTTAATGCAATTAAAAAAAAAAGAAAACAATCACAAACGCATTAATTGATG